AAGAATTCAAAGTGTCGATAAGATTGTTCACACTCCCGCCAAACCAAGTTGCCTCCGAGTGCCTTCTACAAATTCGGTACTAAAATGAAGAATATTGTTCTACCTTTTCATACAATAAGGAAGTTTCCTCCCGTTTTTTCCTTTTTCCGAGTTATGATAGATTAAAGCAGGGGTGTCAGATATGATTCTTGCTTGAGCAACTTTAATTCGTTATCACTGAAAGCCTTTTATATTTATTTATTTATATATTTTATATTTATTTATTTATATATTTTATATTTATATATAGGTGCTGGCTATCAATGCGTAATTACACGCAATTTTTTATTTGATAAATGGCTTGAAAGTCGAAAAAGTAATACAACATGGTCAACTCAAGCCAACCAAATCCTGGAAAACATCAAATGCAGTTGGCCTTATCAAGGTGTTGAGAATATTGAATTTGATCCCCTCTATGACCGAATTTATTTAGTATGCAAGAAGTTAGCAGAATTTTGGAAAGAAAATGCAAGCAGAAAAAATGCAATTATGAGAAATCATTCCTCTTGGCTTGGCAAATCTGAGACTGTCTTTTTAAGTTGTCGTGATGAAGATTATCCAAGTACATCACAACAACGAGGTCGTCCTAAAAAAAAGTTTTGAAGAATGTTCTTCGCGGAGTAAACGAAGACGTGTGGCTGAAATTTCGAAATCCGACGAATCAATTGCCACAGCTTTGCGTAATAGTTCATGTAATTCGAATTTGGGAGAAGAAAACACGATGAGTGTAACGCCTTGTGAAGTACTGGCGCTTTTTGTGGAAGCAAAGTTTACAAAGAAGCAGTACTTACTTGTTCAGAATTTCGTCAACACCAAGATTAAAAAAAATGCACTGCCTAGCTACAAAATTATAAAGACTGAAAAAGAAAACTGCTATCCAGAATCCGACAAAATTAGTGTCACCGAGACAGGTGCCGAAGTGGACTTACAGGCTTTACTTAACCACACGGCGACAAGAATTCTTACTTCGCAGAAAGACGTTCTTGACACTCTCAACAATGACTTACATAAAAGCCTACAGTTAGTAGGGAAATGGGGATTTGATGGAAGTACAGGCCAAAGCGAGTACAAACAAAGCTTTCATGATCCTTATGCTAAAGACAGCGATTTGTTTGTTACAAGTTACGTGCCATTGCAGCTCAAGTTAAAAAATGACAAAAATGAAGATGTTGTTGTTTGGAAAAATCCTCGACCGTCCTCAACACGATACTGTCGCCCATTAAGATTTCAATTTAAAAAAGAAACTACTGCTGTATCTGTTTTTGAAGAACAATATTACACTGAAAAAATAAATGCCTTGCAGCCTTTAACTATAACTATTAATGATAAAGAATGGACAGTCACTAACAACTTACGTTTAACTATGGTTGATGGAAAAGTGTGCAACGCACTTAACGAATCTACATCTTTAAAATGTTACATATGCGGAGCAACACCAAAGGAAATGAACAACATTGAATTATGCCTTCAAAAAGAGGCCAATGAGAACAGTTTATGTTTTGGTTTGTCCCCGCTTCATGCTTATATCAGATTCTTTGAGTTTTTTGTTCATATTTCCTACAGACTCAAAATTAAGAAATGGCAGATAAGAGGTGATGACAAAACAGAATTTGAAAAACAAAAGAAAATAGTCCAAGCTGAATTCAGAGCAAAACTAGGATTGATTGTGGACAGACCGAAAACGGGAGGAAGTGGTTCGTCAAATGATGGCAATACAGCCAGGAAATTTTTTAACAATACCAAAATTTCTGCTGAAATAACTGGAATCGATGAAACACTGATCGACAGATGCGCAACTGTTTTACAGGCTTTAAATTCAGGTTATAATATCGAAGCAGAAAAGTTCAGAGTTTTCGCCTTAGATACAGCTGCACAGATAATTGAAACATATCCATGGTACTATTTACCTGCTTCAGTTCACAAAGTGTTGTTGCATGGTGCATCGGTGATTGAGCATCATGGACTTATTTCTATAGGCGAGTTAAGTGAGGAAGCTGCAGAGTCCAGAAATAAGGACATTAAAAATTACCGACTGAATCACACAAGAAAAATGTCTCGGGTTGTCACTAATAAGGACCTTTTGAATAGACTTCTTTTAACTTCCGACCCACTTATTTCAAATGTGAGAAAATTGCCTACTAAAAAAAAAACATTTTTATCAGAAAATGCATTAAAATTGTTAAAAATCTAATTTACCAAACATATTATTTTTGTGAGAATTTGTTTACATTTTCTTTTTTATCTTGTAAGTTAAAACAAATAAAAATAATAATAATAAGTGTTTAATTAAAAAAAAGCTTGTGTTATATTTTTGACCGCGTTTTGGACGGGAATGCATTCATTTAATTTATTTTAACATTTAAGTTTAGCATTTCTTGGGATGTTAATGGGGTAGTGAAGTAAATATATAGCCTATCCTACTCAACTGTCAAGTGTCAATATTTTGGTCCGATTTCTGAACAATTGTATACGCTATTTTATCCTTACTAAAAACGGTGTTCTGCCAATTTTTTTCAAATTTCTCTGAAAATTAACCATTTTATT